GAATAGCAGATTAAAATTAAGTTAATGATAAAATTGGAATAAAAATTCTAAACCAAATTAATAATTTACTTTGCAGTAATAATTTTTTTTTTTAAAAAAAGCAAAGGAATATAAAAAAGGAAAACATTGTTAAACGGATATTGCTTTTTTCATTTTTTATATCAATTAAACAGAAAAGTTTAATTGGAAAAAATCTTTCGAAATTTAACCGTAAACGATTTCAATTAATTACGTACAATTTATTTAATTCTGGTTTTTTGTTTTCCTGTACATTTAAATCAAGTAATACTATTATTATGATGCAATTATTAATTTTATTATTACCTTAATTTTAATCTAATATTCTAAGGCTATCATTAATTTACTATACTCTATTATTCCAAAATTGTTATTAATTTAATTTTAATTAATTAAATTTTAATTTTCGAAAAATCTGGATAAGAAAACTGAGAGAAAATGAATGAAAAATTATGGTTTAACCATATATAATAGGAAAATTACCATACATATTTGACCTATTTCCACTATTTTAATTACCTTTTTGATATAAACTTCAATTCCAAATATACGTAGCGTTAACATTCATATAACTTATCAAATGTTTTTTAATATTGTAAATAATCTAATTTTTTATTTTATTATAATAAAATTTCAACAAAGCAAAGAGATATAGTTATATGATTAATTAAAATATGGTTAATTAAATTCCTTATCATAATTGGCTGCTTTTTTTTCTTTTATTTTATTATTATTATTATTAATTTCACCGAAATTCTCATTTCTTTCATATTGTAATAGTTAAATTACTCCGATTAATCGAACAATTTTTTTTTCCTTTTCAGCTTAAATATTTATCAAAAATTTTTATTTACATATTTTTTTTGTGATTAGAATTAGATTTTAATATTTTGTGTAAATTTTGTAAATGCAACAATTTCTAAGATATATTTTTTCTTTTATATTTAAACTTTGTTTATGAAATGTTCCTTGTCCTGTTTTTAAATTTTAAGCGAAACAAAAACAAAAGAAATGGAAATCTTTTCTTCTTTTTTTTTCTGTTTTAATGATACCATTGTAGTTTTATTTGGTATATCAAAGATTGTCCAAACAAACCTGATCAGTATTTGAATAATCCGGAAAGAAAAAAAAACGGAAATGTTAAATTATCAAAGTATTTATTCCATTTTAATTCATTAGAAAATAATGATTACTGATCTTTTTCATGAATATATACTATACACGTAATTGTTACTATTCCATAGTTCTTTCGATTTTAATCTTTTTATTGTAATTTATTTTATTTCATTATATTTAAATTCCGTTCTATTCTTATTTTATCCTATCCTATCCCAATTTTCCACTTCATTTCATTTCATTTTTAAGAACAAACTTTATTTCATATTCGGGATAATTCTAAGCGAAATTTTTTGAAAAAAATTCAAATGAAAAAAAAAGGAATTAAATTTTAATTGTCAAATTGCATTTTTCCATTCTTTGAATTTCACGTGCTAAAGTTGAATTATTTGCAAAAATTATGCGATTAAATTGGATAAAAATTTGAATTATTTGTAACAAGGAATAAATTATTGCATATTTATATTATGAATAAATCAGTATATTGATTCACTGTTAAATGAAAAAGGAATAAAAATAGGAATAGAGAAAATATGAACTTGAATAAACTAATTAAATAATTATTGTTTGACAGTAGTAGGATGAAATAATATTAAGGATAGGATGGAATAAAATGAAATGTTATCATTTATTGATAAATTTTTGTTGCAATGATAAAAATCATTCCATTTCAAAACTCTTTTGTTATTAATTACTTTTTTTTTTTCTTAATTATAATCATTCCAGTTGTCCTGTCCTCAATTAAGAAAAAAAAAAGAAAAAAGAAAAACAAAGAACAAACGAACAAAAACATTGTTACTATTTCCTCCATTTCTTGTTTATTTTGTTTATCATTTTTAATTTTTGCGTTTATTTTGGAATTTAATCGGTAAATAAATATTTATTTTATATTTTATAGTATATTCGTTTTTTTTTTTTATTTCAATATTTCATATTTTATACTATATTCATCTTAGTGAAAATAAAACAAATTTCATCTTTATAATCATGCCAATCATTTTATGGTACCATAAAAAAAAAAAGAAAAAAGGAACGATAATTTCTCATTATACCTTGTTTCATTTGTTTCATTCTTTATTTTATTTTTTGTTTTTTAAAGAAATGAAAAGGGAGAAAAATTGTATATTAGTTTCAAACAAATACAGATAAAGAAAAGAGGCTTTATTGAAAAGCTGTCACTTTTTTATAAAAAGCAAATTTCTTTTTTTTTTTTCAGCTAAAAGACATTTTTTGATTGGATGAAATGTGTGAAAATGGATGCTTTTGATGAAAAGTATAAAGCCGAAATCCGATATTTTTTTTTATTACTTACAGTAATCTTGATATATAGTCGATCAACATTGTTGAAAAATTGTCTTTTGAATATCTGAAATGAAAGAAATAAATGGGAACTAAAGTTATCATTGTGAAAAGAGAAATGATGATAAAGTTTGAAGTACATTAATACATTAAGTTCCAAAAATATCACTAAATCAGTATTTTAAGTTCCCGATATGCTATCGAATACATTACTATTTAAGGTTAAAGTATATCAGTATATTAAATTTTGAGTATATTAGAATTTTAAAGTTCGAGCATACTATTGAGTACATTAGAATATTAAGGTTTCGAGTACATTAGTATATTCTGTTTTAGGATGTTATCCAATATATTTGTATATTAAGTTTCAAGTATACTATCAAGACATCAAAATATTAAGGCTCGGGTATACCAGTATATTAAGCTTTAGATATGATATCGAGTATATCAATACCCGAGTATATCAGTACATTAAATCTCAAACATACTATTGAGTATATTAGAATATTAAGGTTCAAGTATGATAATATATCAAAAAATCCTGAAAAAAAAAGGACAGTACAAACAAGTAGAGGAATTAAAGTAAAAAAATTACAAAATGTATTTTAAATGAGAAATGCAAAAAATATGAAAGAACAGAGAAAAGATAAGGGACTAAAGAGAAAGACAGAGGAAGAGAGATAATTGAAATTTTAGAAAATTATAGGATGAAATAAAGTGAAAAATATTGAAATTAAAGGGAGACTAAAATAAAGACAGTAACACAAATAATAAAAAGAAAAATCATGAAAACAAGAAATATTCAAAATAAATTTATACAACAAATGCATTGTTAATTAGTAAATTAAAACAAATTAGTGAATTTAAAAAACAAAAAAAAAAATTAGCGAATTTGAAATTTCGAAAGTAATAATATATTTTGCATTCTAATCATTTCTCCATACTAATTACAATAATTATCATTAAAATATTTAAATCATTAAAAGATTTAATCATAAATGTCGACAATTATTTGTTTCCTATGTTACAAAAGAGATGATGGTAAAGAGTTTATGCAATGAATATCTAACATAAAATGTATCAAATTTATTTCCATCATTGTTCGGTTATTTTAAATTATTATTTAATTCATTTCAAAAAATAAAATTATGCTTGAGTAATTTCAAAAAAAAAAATTAAGCATCGTTTAATAACATTCTCTCTTCACGTATATACATTACCTCCTACATGTGATCATATTATTTTCTTTAGATGATATATTCCATTGACTGATTTAAAAATTATTCCAATTATTACATTTACCAATCGGATATCAATCAGGATTGTCGCATGAAGAGCTTATTTGAGCTGGAATTATTTCATAATATTAGAAAGATGGATTCATTTTTTGGAACCGGCAATAAAATTGGAAAGAAATTTGCATATTCCTAAATTTTCTCTATAAAAAGTTTAGGAATATGTAAATCTTTCCTAAAGTTGAAAATTTCTTTTTTACTTTTTACTTCTCAATTCCGATTCTTATAATAGAATAGGATATTTTGGTATAGGAAAATCGCGGAATTGTTTCGCTATCATAGTTTGCTAAGGAAAGAATATGATAAAATAGGATAGAGCAGGATAGTTTCAAATTTTGATAAAAAGGTCAAAAAGGTCAATTTCAGAGAAGATTTTCGTTTCTTTCCTTTGAAACCAAAAAAAAAAAAGAATTTTTTCTTCTTTGAAGTTAAATATAAAATTACGTGGAAAAAAACAGTTTCATTTCAAATTTCTTTTATCAAATGTTTCAAAATTTGATTAACTTTTTTAAAAGTATTCAAAGATTATCTTAAAATGATATATCATATCTCTATAATATCATTGGATGTTTCTATTTACATGTTCCACGTAACAAAGTAATTTTTATAAAAAAAATGCAATATATAGTATTTACAAGGAGAACGTAAAGTAAAAAAAAGTGTAAAACATGATAGTATGTGAAACGCTGCACGCTTAACCTGGAAATATGCGGAACGTGAAAATATGTGAAACGTTGCGAGTTTAACGTGAAATGCGTGAAGTCTTCCACGTTTAATGTGAATTCGAGTGAAACGTGAAAATATGAAAAATGTTGTATGCTTCACACAAAAAATATGTAAAACGTTTCGCGCTTAACGAGAAATTACACGAGACGTGAAAGTAAGAGAAACGTTGAGCGCTTAATGCAAAAATGTATTTTACATATTTTGCTGTCCTGCATACCATTGAGATATATATATACAAGTACACGTACGTGTATACACGTACGCGAAGCGCACATATATCAGTTAAAAGTAGGGAAAAATACACTATAGAAGTTGCATTGGTATTTCATGGTTAGGCCGATACTCGCAATTTTGCTTCGATTTGTTTATTATCATTCTGGCGGTTGTTCGATTTGTAGTTACTCATCCTGTAAGTATCTACTCGATATTGATTGATGATTTCTTTGTGTTAATATGTACATGTAATTACATTGCTTATATACTTTCCTGAATAATTTTCCTGAAAATTTATTGCATTTCAGGAAAAATGGGTGAGGAAGGTGCATCGTCATCCGGTTTTTCTACTTCATATGATAAAGATTCCGGTTTTGATGTTACTTCACATGAAGCTATGTATAAAAATAAAGGTAATATGTTATCAAATTTGTTATTGAATCTATTTTCTTTTCCTTCAATTACTCCGAGTAGGGAAATCACCTCTTCTTAATTTATTAACAAAAGTGATTTTTATGTTTGAAAACAAATATGCGTTTTTTGAAAATTTTTTTCAATAAATCTTGTAGTTATATTTAAAAACTTGTCATAATATAGGTGAATCCATACTTTTCTCACAGACATGAAAAATTATTAGGCACTAATAGTTTGAAAAAGAAAGTAATACTCTGGAAAAGTATTAAGTGAAAAAGTATTAGTTATAAACATGATATGCGATTCTCTCTAAATTCTCTTCTTGTTTTTGTTCTTCATCCATCCATTCACTCTATCAACGAATGTCGCAACACACAAATATATTTGTATTTCTATATTTAAAGTGCTAATAAGCAAATAAAATGATGTTTTAGGTATGACATCAGATGCCATGCGTAAGCGGCGTGAAGAAACTTGCGCTGAAATCCGTAAAGCTAAACGATATGATGATTTGAACAAACGACGGCAAATAGATATGGCACAAACTAATGAAGAACCGAGACGTGAACCTGTAGGGCACTTTCGCATCACTCACTTGTATTGAAGGGAAAACTTTTTATATGTTGGATAGCACATAGTTGGGTTTGTTTGACGTCAGTGATTCTCTTTCAGGAAATTAATGTACAGTCATGTTCAACTCTGAGCCAAGCTATTACAATGACAGGACACGAGCAGATTGCTAGTTTTGATTTTTATTTCTACAAATTACGGATAATGTGTAGTCTCTTTTCATTCTTACTCTTTGCTTTTAAGAGTTCGGAAATCTTCAGCAGGGTTGTAGTCATCAATTGTATCATATTTCGCTTGATGAAAGCAATGTAACTTGAACCGTACAGTTTATTTCATGCTTCGCTTTGCGGAATATGTTGGATTTTGTCTGTTCATGCTACAGTGGATGAAATTTCAGATAAATTTGATGCTGTAGAAGAATGTGAAACTATATAGATCAAATTCAGCAAAATTTGAAAAAATGAAATTTTCAAATAGCAGTTTTAGGCCTGCACTGCAGTGGACGAGCGAATCGTTGCCAAGCTATGTGGAGAATGTCCGGAAGATATCGAGGAAGCACTGGATTTCTATAGACGTCGTTTCCGTGCAAGTAATTCTGGCATAACATACTTTTGAATGGTTTTCTGAGCTCGATTTGGATTATCTTTTGTAGTGTAAAACTCAGCATTCGACGTTTAACCGTATATATATATATATATGTGGTTGTACGTTGCTAGCTGCTTGAGGTGGTATTTCTTCTCCCTCAGCACTTAATGGGAAGTGAATCGTTCAATCTTTAAATGAACTATTTAAAATCCTTAATCTACTAGTAACTACTTTTCGACTACATGTAATAGCTGAACCAATCCTTTCCCGCTTAAGTAATAAAAATTCAATTTCCAATTCCTTGTTGAAATTTATAATAGGATGTGTAGCTAAGAAAAATATATTTACATGCATCTAGTTGGTTTTAAAGGTAATGCTGGTGATGTGGCTGATGAAATTGTTGCCTTGAATTTAATACCTCGCATCGTGGTATTGCTGCAGACTGGATCGACTCTTAACATACGTCGAACCGCTACGCATGTTGTCGGTGCTATTGTTTCCATCTGTTCAACACATACCGAAGCAATTGTTAAAAGCGGTGTTGTCCCATATTTGGTCGATTTAATTACGTAATGTCTTTTTTATTTTTGGAACAGTTTCCTGAATTTTCTTTTGGTGATTCCCTTCATTAACATGATTTTATTTTTTTTTTTATTTTACCGATAATTTACCAAAAATGTCGCTTATACAATTCAATGCTTGCAGTAATCCGGACCGTGAAATGCGTGAATTAACATTATTTGCATTGGGTAACATAGCTGCTGAATGTTGTGAATACAGAGATCTCTGCATCTCATATGGTATGGCTGAGAAAATGGCGACGATTCCAGATGGGTAAATTTTATAAAACTGTACTGGTTTCTCTTGGCTCCTATTTTTGTTTCTGTCTTACTTCTTCAACTGTTTAAATTTTATAGGTCTCATTTCCTTTGCAGTAGTATGACACTGATGGAAGCGCGATGTGCTGTTTGGGCTGCTTCGAATCTGTGCCGTGGAAAAGATCCACCTGTAGATCTCCAAAAGGTTATTATAGATTTAAATGAGTATGCTGTTATTGCTACAAGTATATCAGTTTACCGATCCAGTTAGCTCCTTGTTAGTTCAACTTTTTATCATGTGTAAACTGTTGTTGTATGATATAGCTTAAGGCAGTTGGTTTCACTTCATATCTTAGTAGGACATTTCAGAGATTAAAACATTTAATAGAACATTTCAGAGATTAAGAGAAATACGAAGGAACATTTCATATCTCTTAGTACTTTATGTCTTCATTTCATTTCATGTCTTAAAGCATTTCATTTCGTGTCTCTTTATGAGAAAAAATGAAAAAATTTTTTTTCTTGCATTTTCGTGGTGAGTTGAACTTTTAGCAGTGGGACATATAAATTAAACAAGGAAATTAAAGAAAGAATCGTTTTGGATACGTCGTTTTGGATAAGAAAGAATCGTTTTGGATATTATAAAAACTTGGGAATATTATTTTACTATACACTGTGAATTTTTACTTGAATCTAAAGCTTTTATGAAAATGAATGAATTGCAGATCGCAGTGCTCTTACCACTGTTCAACGAAGCCTTGTACAGTAGTGACACACTAATTATCTCAGATGCATGTCGCGCATTTGGTCGCTTACTTGATGCTGCACCAGAAAGCTCGTATAAATATATTCTGAAGCCGAGTGCCATTGAATGTCTGGTAGAACACATGGGAAATCCCAATTCGAAAATATCATTGGCGGCATTGTTGGCAGTTGGAAATATTGTTTCAGGAGATGACGAGCAAACACAAAGTAAGTCTAGGTTTATTGTCGTTCCCGTCGATTTGAATTTTAGTTCAATTTTTTTAACCAGTGAAAATTTTTGTAAAGTTTATTTCGGAACTTTTAAGCAACATCACCCTGAGAAGTCTGTCGCTTAAGTAATGAAATATCTACTCCCAATTAGACTCGTGGTAGATAAGTTAATAAAATTGTGTTCCATGCGTAGTTTTATACAGGAAACATCAGTAACATTTTGTTGGAACTGTGAGCATCCTTGACAATAAAATGAGATATAACTGAAGGTGTTTTAAACTGTGGGAATGCACTGAATTACATTCATCGTCTCTTGCTGGATGGTAATCAAAAAACGAAGCGTGAAGTATGCTGGGTATTGTCGAATATTGCCGCTGGTACATCTTCGCAGATACAGACCATCTTTGACGCTGGAATAATTCCTTGTTTGATACAAATTTTGAAGACGGAAACATTCCAAGTTCGTTCAGAGGCAAGTTTTCACAGCTGTGAAAATTATCCTTTTCTTGTTTTGCATCAAATGACCTTTCAAATCTTATCTCATGAAATTTCAGAAAAAGATACAAATTTTACATTATTAGGTTAAAATGAGGAAAATTTTTCACCCACGCAAAATGTTTGGCAAGACATAGGATGGGGTCTTACATCAAGTAGATGTATTTTATATATATTTTTTTATACATTACATTATTTTACATATTTATACATTATATACATTATACTTTTCTTTTATACATTATATTATTTTACATTATATTTATACATTATATACATTATATTTATATTTATACATTATACATTATATTAATACATTATATTATTTTTATACATTATATTATATTTCTTTTATACATTATACCTTTATACATTATATTTCTTTAAAAAGAAAAAAAGAAAATCAGAATTCTAAAAGTTGATGATAAAATAAATAAATCTATGTAAGATCTTCCTTTCACATTCCAGCCAGTTGTTTAGGACTCTCAACAAATGAAAAATAAGGGTGAATGAAGGATTTTTTTTTTTCAATTTCACTAGATTAATGGAATAGAAGTAAAATCAAATATTTTGTAGGCCTGCTGGGTGATTGCCAATGCTATCGCTGGTGGTAATAGAGAACATATAGCAGAAATTGTACGTCAAGGTGCTCTTGCTCCTCTCTGTGACATGCTCACTGTTATGGATTGCAGCGTTGTTGTCGTGGTATTGAAAGCATTGGGCGAGATTCTGGATTGTGGTGATTATTGTAAAAGTAGTGTTTAGTTATTTATTGACCTTGTTCGTCTCCTTATTTGCTTTTCTTTATAGGCTTGTGGAGCTTTTTTATTGACCTGCAGCAGTTATACATAGGTAGCTGAACTACCATTTGGAAAGATATGGAATGAAGCCTGACATTGTTCTTCATTCTTAATTTTAATGTTCCACAGTGTACATTTATTTGTTTACTTATTGATTTTCAAGTCATTATAGGATATTCAAAAAGAAAAAAAGAGACAGAAGTGTTAAGCCACCAGTGGTCTTTTTTCTTTTTACTGAAATGAATTAGTAACAGAAAATAATTTCTAGTTAGAAATTATTTTCAGAATTTTCATCAAAAAATCTCTTCGCAGAGAATGTATGTAGACTTGAAAGTGGTCTAGATGTGACTGAGTTCCAGGATCGGTAAGGAGATTGAGAGCTGAATTGGTCAATAGTTTTGATAGTGAATTGTTAGGACAAGCTGGGGTGATGGCGATGCATTTATTAATGACATCATTGCTAAGGGGTTTTTTTATGAAAAGGTATTGCTGACGGCTGCCTCGATAGACATGGTTTAGAAATGCTGATGATTGCATTTTTTGGTGTTTATCTATTACTATTCTCTTTGCAGTTGATGGCCAAAATCTGTACGCTACTAGACTGGAAGAATTGAATGTGGTCGATAAACTCGAATTCCTGATGCTGTAAGTTGAATTTTCTGCGATGAAAATGCTTTTCTTCTGCATCGCTTGAGCATTCTTTACACAATTTGAAGGAATTTTTACCAATCTATATATTTTTTCCAGTGAACAGAGGTAGATAGCTGGGTATTTCATCACTTTCTGTTTTTTCTTTTTTACTACTTTAAGTTAATATGTTTACCTAATATAATATTTTCATTTTAATAAAATTAAAAAAGTTTCTTCAAGTGATCTTCTCTTTAGAAGTTCGAATACAGAAATATTTTATAAAGCATGCGCAATCATGGAGAAATACTATCTTCATGAAAGTTGCGGAGAGGATGAGGCTGCCAACAACGGAACCGGTGTTCACAATCATAAATTGAATTATTTCGATTTCTCTTAATCTGTCCGTTCTTCCTTCTTTTCTCTCTGACCTCAGATATCGAATGTATTGATTTTTTCCTGTAAATCTATCATTAATATAGGGTCTTTTTGACATATTCATCATGTAGTTATGTCCGGGATTCGGAACTTCATTGGAATCGCAATACCGGAACTGATTTAAATGGTCATTTTATGAATTCTCATAGGATTTAATGATTGTATTAAATAACATCCATTATTCATTAGTTATCTTATCTGATATAATCCCTACAAATATCTGAAAAACAAAACAGGAATGTGAAAATTCCATTAAAATGAATAGTTCCTAGTTGTGACGTCCTGTGAACAGGATACTCAATTTAAACTGTGCAATAACGTCTGTAAAATATATCATGAATTTGAAGTTCTACAATAATGCGACTTATTCATTGGCATTTATTGATAACGGTTTTTGTAGTATGCAGTTATAGCCTTGAGAAATATTGGTAAGCGATTAAAGAAGAATTTTCTGTGTATCATTAATGAGAAAAATATTTATACAAAAAAAGAGTTTACAACAGGATTAGAGATGTTGATATTCTTAACAAAGTCAACGGCACTAAAAGAAAATTTATGGGATATTAAGGGAGTAAAAAAAGAAATTAGAAAAGAAGGTTCCAGAAGGAAGATCCCCTTCTTTTGTTTTCTTTATTAAAATTATTAAAAATTCGTTATTAAAAATTTTTTTTTATTATTAAAAATTTGTTTTCTTTATTAAAAGAATGGAATGAGAAATGGCCCAAGAGTGAAGATCAGTCTTGGACTTTTCCAACAATTAGGAGTCTAATCTTTTCCTTATCAGAAAATCCAGCTTACGAAATCATTATCAGCATGGTAGGCAAGAAATGTTACCTCCGATAAGGTATGAGGTTGGTTGTTTAAAAAATTTCGCAAAAATGTCATTGGTAGCAACTATTAGAGTTTGTTCTAAGCTCATGAGTATAATTATCGGTATAGAATGATACTGGTCAATAATATCAAATGATTCAAATATTCATTTTATGAGAACTCGCATTACAATTTCCTTTGGTGAATTGCATTTATATCCGATTTAGTGTACTAATTCGTCAGCAATTTCGTTTAACTAATGAATTTTAAAATTCAGTAATGCTACAACGTTAGACATAGGAGTAATGGTAATACACTTCATCAGAGATGTAGAAGTAATGTTTGATTTGATCGTGTGGGCAACCATTGATCTTATAGAACATTTCGATCGTAAACTTTTCAACGGCTGTTAGTCGATTTCGTTTCATTTTCTACTCTCTAAACGAAAATGATTCAAATATTTATTTTATGAGAACTCGCGTTACAATTTCCTTTGGTGAATTGCATTTATATCCGATTTAGTGTACTAATTCGTCAGCAATTTCGTTTAACTAATGAATTTTAAAATTCAGTAATAAGAGAACCAAAATCAAGTAAGTTAATTGGGATGATTACTTGGGGCACTAAAATTTGACATGAAAGCACTCACACAGGTGTCTTGGAGTTCTGATGGTCAGCTGTCTTGGAGTTTTGATGGTCAGCTACTGGACTCAAGAAAGAAACGTTGCGTGATGATCTTGTTGACTGAAAAACTTGTATTACAAATTTAATGCTCGAGGAGTGCTATTCATTTTCCTGCTAGATTGAGAATAAAAAACTTTAAAACCAGTCAAGATCTGAATTGTTCTTGAAAATTCCACCGATCAACTGGCAAACTTTCTGTTATGATCAGCAGAAATACTATTTCATCAGTAGTTCAATGTTTTATTGATTGAACCGCCTGTCATAAGCTTATGATACTGCCAATTTAAATTCATACTGTGCATGTCATGAACGATTCCAAGTCATAAAAGATATGTTATCTTGTCGCTTAGGGCATGATAAACTGGAATGTAAATTTTTGCAATTTAACTTCAAGACTTACATTTCCGAATTGCGTCTTCTTCATTATTGACGACCTTCCGGTTGCATTCAGAAATGATTTAAGCACATTCGGTGTGGTATCATTATTTCTGCCTGGTTCATTCAACAGATCTGTCAAAGTTACTCCTGAATCATCCAATTTTCGTAATACTCCAGAAGTGGATGCAGGAGATTCACTGTGTCTGTAAAATTGAATTTGTTCAACTGACAAAACTTCTTAATTCATGCTAATATTTAAAATTTGATATTCATCTATAAAACGTTTGAAACATTAAAATTAAAAAGAAGACGAAATTTTTGGCAGGAACAAGACTACATAAAGGCAAAATTGCTACTATAAGCTGCACAATGCAAAACAATGCACTATTCATAAGAGGAAAAAAATTCAAGACAAAATTAATTTCATATCCTAAAAAGCAAATTCTCCATATTAACAAAAATATTAGGAAGCCTTTTACAATATATTTGAACTTTTTATGGCATTTCAACAATCAGTTTTGATTGTAAACTGATTTTGAATTGAGAAAATTAAACAACGTTAACTTTACATCTTTCTTTTGTTTGTTGTACAAAATGATTTAAGTTTCAATAAAGAATCTACTCTTTGCTATCATTAAAGTATTACCCTAAGTTTATCGTCTTATCATTACTTCGTGTCGAATCAATTTCTTTTTCTACATTAATGCTTTCACCACTTTGTACGTTACTACCAATACTTTCATTCTTTTCCTCCATTAATACTGCATGTCGTTGTTCCACCGGTAGCAATAAATCAGCCATTACTTGTAAGAAATCTCAAAAATGATGAACTTTTTTTCTTTTCATAAATCATATCATGTTCATATAATTCCATTGATTGTGATCAATTTTCTATTTGATACATTTGATAATGCATCATGATATTCAAATTTCACTAATAGAATACTGTTTGTATCCGTTATTGCTGTTATCAGTACTTTTTAGAGTAAATTATATCATGTTGAAATATAAAATGAATAGTTCAATTCTTTAAATAAAACTGTCACCTTCATGCGGTACTGATAGCTCAGAAATGATTGATTACGACCTTAGTTGAGAATTAAAATTAGGAAATGTCTAAGTAAAACAATTTAATCATAAAAATTACTTAAATTTACAAAAACATCACCACCTTTGAGATCAGTGGTAAAATCGGTATTTTTTAGATTTTCCAACAAAGGTGCAATTTTGAATAGTAATTCTCCATCATCATCATCGGCAGGATCGATGGGTTTATTGTATTTTAAGCATTCATAAACCTAAAGCTAACTAATTATTAAATTATCATTAAAAAACTGTCAAATATTCTATATTGCTTCCAATAACTTATCAGAAATTTTATACAGTGTAAATAACTTTTTTTTTTTTACTTTGAAGTATACCTGATTTGCGCGCTCTATAATTTCATCATCAATGCCAACTTTTGATGCAATATGTGAGGCATATGAAAAGTCAATAAAACCATCAACAAGTTTGTATTGAAAATCGAAATTTCCATCATTTAATATTACATCCATCGTCTACAGAAACAAATGTTGACGAACAAAAAAAAAGAAAATTATAGCTTTTAATTTGGAAATCTTTAATTTGGAAATCATCTTTTATCTTTTCATCTTTTAATTTGGAATTCCTTTTTCCGATCACTGTATTATTTTTCATCATACCAAGAGGAAAGAAACTTTATGAACCTAGTTTTGTTTTTTAAGAAAAACCGAGAAATCTTCCAGATAGTTGCAAGATTTTTAAAATGTAACATGCAACAATGATTTTTTCTGAAAGGAATTTTTAAACGTTTCTAATAAATATTTCTAAAATCTTAGAATTTAATTCGAATTCTATTCAAATACCAAAAACGATAATAAGTTGACATCTTTAACGATATGATCAATTAGCGAATGGAAATGAGATACAGCAAAAACGTGCGGGCAGTCAGTTTTGCCTTTTCGAATCCAGTAATTCAATGACG